CTACATTTATCTATTTTAAACACACTAACCTCACTCCTTTGTAACAATAAGGTAAAAATGTAATTGAGAAAATCTTTTCAGGACCCCACCTTGATATTTCGGGTTCCCACTTTGGGTCCCGACCCCAACTTTGGGAAACGCTGCCTTCCATCATATTAATCTTTTATTAAGTTTTCCATCTCTTTGTGTTTTTGTCTTCAAGCCTGACCGAGAGTTCAAGCCGTGGAAGACGAACGCTGTGCCGCCTCCTGAGAGCTACGCTGCGGAGCCTGAAAGGAAGAAGGGGCCTCCTCCTGGAATGGACATGGCGATAAAATGGTCCAACGTGTACGAGGACAACGGTGCAGACGCGCCGCAGGCYTACACCGGCAAAGCTCGCTTCTTACCCACAGAGGAGCAACCTTCTGACTCTGGTGAGTTCTGCAGGGAAAGCTGCACTTCACATGATGATTTATTCCATTATAGTATTTTACAGTGGTGGGCACAGTTCCMCTAAAGCACTAATAGGGGAACTAATTTCCTGATTAGTGCTTTAGGGCTTTTGATCATTTTAAAATTTATTAGTGGATTAGCACTTGCTAAATTTAGAAACACTAACTGAGGTCTATAAATGTTAATGATCAATGTTTATGTTAACAGCTGACGGTGAAAGCTGTCACACATTTTGTTCATATGTGTGTCTCTTATCCACCAGGTGACAATATATGAACCCAAATACAGCTGTGGAACGTCAATGATAAGTCTTAATAGAGCAACATGTCAACATGTGACTCATGTTGTCTGTTGAAGAATGTTCATTGGTTGACTTGGTTATTTTAGTGCTTTAGAATTAGCATTTGCTAAAACTTTCAGTGCATTAGTGCTTTAGAATTAGGGGACCTAAATATGAGTTAGTGCTTTAGGGCTWKTGGAACTAATTTTTAGATTAGTGCTGCCCACCACTGGTATTTTACATTWCACAAAGACTAGAGTGTATTGAGAMAAGATCAAGACTTTTAGGGGCCAAGTCGACCAAGACCAGAAAGATAAATGGAATATACAGTACACAGAGTTTATTTTACACAGTTAGCTAACTTAAAATGTAAAGCTAATATTAACTAAATCTCTTTGTGTGAGGGCCAGGTAAAGAATTTTGGTAYAGAGGCAGATTGCTAACTATTATCTATTAGTTATCTATTAGCTAACTATTATCTAGCGATCTTTGCTAACATCACTTAGCTTACCTTTCTTTGTGCTTCCTTTCTAAGTAGGGACTTTGATAAAATTGTCAAACTTATTTTAGAGCTGTTTTTCCTGTTTGTACTCATAAGGCTCTGTGTGCAGATTCCAAGACTATTTAGTTTTTTTAAAATCGGACCACCCATTAAGGACTTAGAGGTCTTTAAAAGGCTGAAAATTAGGAAGGAAGTGCTCCATTGACTTCCATTATAACATAAAAAAAGTGCGGAGCTCTGTAGACTAGGGTTGGGTGTTGAAAGGGTTTAATTTGAGACCAGTGCTAAATCGATACTTTCGAAACGGTACCGGTTCCTAAACAGTATTTAAATTGGTACTTTAAAAATAAATAGATAAAATATACACACACACTCACACAGAGGTTTATGAAGCAATGATTATTTCTGAGGCAAAGTCAAACTTGAAATTGACCAACATATTAACTTAAAACCATTAATAATTTGTCTTTGCACCAAATATTCTTAAAGCATTTGTTGTAGGTGGAAGTTTCTGCATCATATTTTGCAAAGTGACACCACACTTTGGACTGTTTTGCTTTTGACATCTCGACTGTAATATAAAATATATAATTATTCACTGCAGCAGTACCTGTTAGCCCCTCTCCATGAACTCGGTTCTACTCGATTCACTTTAGGTCGGGTCGGTTCTGCTCAGTGTCCGTGTGTCTCCACGTAGTGGGTGTGATCATGTGCGGATCGTCCGCAGCGGCTTCAACTGTTGTGTTAAAAATAAAACAAAGTAAAAAAGCCATTGTGGTCTTACCGTTCGGACTTCACTTTTTATTTATTTATTATTTTATTTTCACGGTGCTGTTTATAGCTAAGTGTTTGTGTAACCGTGGGCGGTCAGTTTGTTCAAAACCTCCCTGTTATCTGCTCCGGTTCGTCTCCTTCACCTCTCTCCAGGAAGTGTTTACAAGTTCTGCCTTTTTTCAAAAAGGCAGTTTTATTTCACCATGTTGTCGTATCGTGCTGCGYGCTCATATTCCTAAACAAAAGCAGCTCTCTCCAGGAGGAAATTTGCTGTCAGTCAATCCAAGAGTTAATCCACGACTAGAATTCTGCTGACGTTAAAACCATAAGCGTGCTGTACTCGCGTCTACCCGAACCACCGAAGAGGAGGTTCTGAGACAGCTCAGCTGTGGAGCGCGCTTGGAGAGACGCATTGGCTGGGACCGAGCCGAGTCGAACCGCRTCCGTGGAGATTGTGTGCTGAGGCTGTCACTGTTAACAGTGAACACCAGAGGGTGCAAATTAASAGCTTTCTTTGAGGCATCGAAATAAGGCACCAAAGTTAGAGTTGTGTTTTGGTCTGTGTACTACCGTGGATGTTCGCCCCAGTGCCATACTGGAACCGAGTTTCGGTACCCAAACCTACTGTAGACATGGAGAACGTCACTATTTCACAACGATTTTTCAAACCAAAGCAGAAAACCAACTAGATAAAACCTTAAGATCGATTATGAAATGCTAAGCAGAGGGTAAAAAGAGCGAAAAAAAATAAATCACAAAAACCTGACCCACGTACTGCCGGGATCGGGCAGCGCATTTATCAAAGCCCCTATTCTAAGTGAGGATAAAAGTTTGACGTAGTCCCCACCGTCTTGTTTTACAAACATATTCTTTATGATTTATGTAGCTGAATTGTTTTACTCAAGATTTCCCAGACTACCCCTGCTCGTTTTCTTGGAGTGCCACATGGGTGGGGATGGGTGACAGCGGTAATAAAAAATACATATGTAATAAATCACATTATGTTTTACATCCAACGAAAGCAAGGATGATAACTAAATTATATTCTGGCAATTTAATGATATTTCCACAGTTGTGGTCTTGCCTGGTCTGAGACCTAGACAAGACCGGTCTGGAGTACTACAACACTGCATACAACTACTCATAAAAGCACGTGATTGTCACATTTCAAGTCTGATAATGAGTATTTTACTTTTAAACATCTTTATTTTTACTCTCCTTCCTCTCGTCTGCCAACAAAGATGAGGAATCATCGCAGTCTGCTCTGTCTGCCAAGAAACGTCGAGTAGAGAGCTTTCAGCAGAAGGAAAAGAGGAAGAGGGATTTGGGACAAGCCACCTCTGACAAGAACTTTGTGGAGGAGGAGAAAAGGATCCTCAGGCAAAAAGTGGAGTGAWGCACAAACAGTTTTTGATGGAAAACATCGTTACAGCTGCAGACAACATTCACAAATGTCCGTTATTTTTATCTACATAGCCATGTGCTGTCATTTGTGAAAGAATAGTGATTTTTTTCAAATCACAGAGCAATCAAAGCTTTAAATGAATACAAAGAGTGCTGAATATTACTGAACATGTCAGTTTTTTGATTTGATAAGACTTTTCAAAAAATAGATAGTGATTAAATTGTTTTAAGGAGAAGGAAATAAGGCAAAAGCAGCAAAAGTTTTGTTTTTTATTTATATGGGTTTAACCTGGAGTTACAGGTTAAACAAAAAAGCTGGTTGGTATGGAGGA